ATGTCCATGTACAAATATACCACCATGAATCTCATATATAATTATAATGCACAAATCAATATATTAGTAATAGAAGGGAGATCAGTAGTGCACAGCAAGTAGATCAGGGGCAGGGAGGAGAGAAGAAAAAGACAAAGTACTGGGAAATGAGAGTGATCAAATTAAATTCTGTGTGTATATGAATTTGGCATAATAAATCCCACTATTATATATAATTATAATATAACCAATAAAAATTACCAAGACATTTATTACCATAAAAAAGAAAGACTCCTTCAGCTCAGGTATAAACTATTAATTTCTATAAATAAATGATTGCTCTTAAATTGTATGAAACCTCAAAAACAACAAACTTACGTATCATTGTCTTTTACTGTAGATTTCTTTCTTTCAGTTAAACTAAGGTGATTCAATTTTTTTCTCTTTCCTATATATATGAAATAAAGAAAAGAACAAAGTTGAGAGAGAAACTGTCAATTTTTAAATAGAATTTAGATTGCCAAATTTTAAATAGAAAATAAAATTGTGGACAAATAAAAGGGAGATGAGAGCAAAAAAAGTGTCTTATTTTGGTTTTTCCATTTCCTATTCTCATGATTTTTTGTACATGATAACATTGTATTGGAAAAATAATCTTTTGAATAGAATTTCCATTGAAGTTTGATATATTAATAAGAAAACTATGTATATCCAATTTGATAATATAATTAGGTTTAAACAATACACTTTACTAAATAATGGATAAGTATTAATAATTATTAATATTAATATTTAATTAAGTATTTTAATCAAAGATACCTTTTTTTTTTAAGGTACTAGGGACTGAACCCAGAGGGTCTTAACGACTGAGCTACATCCCCAGACCTTTTTTGTATCTTATTTAGAGACAGCGTCTCAACAAATTTCTTAGGGCCTTGATAAATTGCTGAGACAGCCCTCAAACTTGTGATCCTCCTGCCTCAGCCTCTGGAGCCGCTAGGATTACAGGCATGTACCACTGTGCCTGGCCAAAGACATATATTAAGGTTTCCAAAGTGTGCATTATTTCATTCCTATTGTTTTCTTAACGTTAACAAGGGATTGTTGATACTTAGAAAACAGTTAAATTCCTAATAACAGTAGAATAAATATGACTATAGGGATAAAAGAACCTATTTATTTAACATGTGCATAAGGTACAATGTGATGTTTTATTAATGTATACATTGTGGAATGGCTAACTTAAGCTAATTAATGTATCTATTACCTCACATACTTATCATGGTTTTATGGCCAGAACATTTAAAATCTCCTCAGCAATTTTCAAGTATACAATTCATTGTTACTTACTATAGTTACCATATTATATACAACAGATCTCCTAAACTTATTCCTCTAATCTAACTGACCAATATCTTTCCATTTCTTCTATCCCCACAATCAGTCCTTGGTAACTTCCCCTCTAGTCTCTGCTCTATGAGTTTGACCTTTCACATTCTACTTATTAAGACCATGCACTATTTTTCTGTGCCTGGATTATTCATTTAACATGTCCCCCAAGTTAATCCATGTTGTGGCAAATGGCAGGATATCTCCGTATTGCACTGTGTGTGTGTGTGTGTATGTGTGTACGCTGCATTTTCCTTATCTATTCATCGCTGATGTACATTTAGGTTAAGTCCATATCTTGGTTACTGAATATCGTTAAAATGAATACATGAGTGCAGATATATCTCTTTGATACATTGATTTCATATCTTTTGAATATATACCTAGTAGTAAGTCTATGAGGTCATATGGTAGTTCTACACTTTTTTTTGAGGACCCAAATCTTTAAATGCATATTCATTTATAAATACTTGGAAAGATCTTTATATAGGTTGAGCATCTTTAGTCTGAAAATCTAAAATGCTCCAAAAACCTAAAACTTTTTGAATACAGAATTTTTATATTAGGTATGTTCAACAAAGTAACTATGCAAATATTCCAAAATCTCAAAAACTCTAAAAGACACTCAACCTGTAGCACCTACTAATGCATATCATTTGTTAAAAGTATTTTAGATAACAATAAAAGAAGTAAATGATTACATCTCAGTATGCAATGAAATGAATAACAAACTTTTTGCTACCAATGAAAGTCAACAGAAACTATTTTCCAATGTATAAATGGAGACCCCCTCCTCATTCTACATATTTTTATGTAGTTCCATTTGTTCAACAACTGGCTCTGCAGTTATTATTAACTCAATGTTTCTATTATTTTACTAAGAATCATTTAATACAATGTACCATGAAAAACTCCTCACACTCTCCCAACAGAAATATATAATTTAAAATCTTCTAGAAGTGAAATGAAAAAAGTAGTATATCAGTAAAAGGGTTTTCTAGTTACTTAATAATTACTTATTTAATTTCATTCTATTTTTTAAAAAAGACGATTAACATATCCAAAAAGTACATGGAGTCTATATGACATTTGTCTTGCTAGATACATATATAAGTTAACAAAAGTTGTGTACTTCAGTTCCTTTAAGTGTAGTTTCACAAAACATTGGTGATCAATCCACTATCACTCAATCAGGACTACATTCAGAATTGTATTTGAAGTTTCTGGCAAGGCTCTAGGGAGTACATTCTCTAATTAGTGAAAACAGCTTTCAATAGATCACAAGGTTTGGAAGCACAACTAATGATGAAAATAATGGCTAACACATACTATTTATTAGGGTCAAATACTGTTTTTAATATATATAATAACTAATTAATTTGCACAATAACTCTGAGGTAGTCACTCTTTTATGGGTGAGATAGTTAGTGAGTATGGCATTCAAGCCTCAATAACAAAAAAAGCCAAGAGTTGAGGAAAACCTTTATCTACAGAGGTTCAAGTAATTTGTCTAAGTTGCTCACATACTAGTTTCTAACATTTTTCTGAAAGAGTTACTTGTAGGCCAAGTTGGAGATCTGTAAGCTAAAAGGTGAATAGGCATCTTAATATGAGTCTGCTTTCCTTTTTTCCTTTCTTTTTTTCCCTCTCTCTCTTTTTTGTTCCCGTGTACATGTATGTGTTTGTGCGTGCCCATGTGGTACTGGGGATTGAGCCCAGGGTTGCTCTATCACTGGGCATTTCCCCAGCTCTTTTTATTTTATTTTGAGACAAGGTTGGCTTTAAACCTAAGATCCTCCTGTCTCAGTCTCCCTAGTTGCTGGGATCATAAGTGTACATCACTGTATCTATCTTCTATTTTTTTAAATTAACCAAATTAATATCATTAAGCAATACTGAAGGGTGAAGAAATTCTTTGGAGGAAAAACTTAAAATAAAATGAAAAATAAAAATGTTACTGTTCCATTTTTATTCAAAATTAAAACACTATTTAAGTTTCTTGGGAAGAAATGGGATAATCTAAAAATATTACCTATATAATTGAATAGAAAGCTATCAAGAAGAAAAGTAGAATTGCTTTTAATCTACTAAAATGTCAATATTTGGGAAGCAACAATAAAATTATAGGTTTTTAAGAAGCTCACATCTATAAATTGGCTCACATCTATCAAATTACTACAGCTTTAAACAGAAAATTGTTTTCCACCTCTTTCGGAATATACAGTATCTGTTTCTTTTCTCACTTGGGAAAAAATGAGTTTTGCCAGATACCTTCCATTTTTTTAAATATTTATTTTTTAGTTTTAGGTGGACACAATATCTTTATTTTATTTTTATGTGGTGCTGAGAATCGAACCCAGTGCCTCATGCTACATCCCCAGCCCCCCAGATACCTACCATTTTGTTAGTCTTTTCAAAGAACCAACATTTGATTCTGTTGTTTTTCTTTATTATTGCTTTGTTTTTGATTTCAGTTTTTCCATTCATATTTTCACTATATATATCCTCTACTATTCTGGATTCATTCTGTTTTTCATCCTTTGCCAGTTGAAGCTTAGTTCATTAATTTTCAGCCTTCCTTTTTAAATATATGCATTTATAGGTTAAACTAAATTTTCTCCTAGGAAATGTGTTAGTATAATTTAGGAATAAGTTTTTCCAGTAGGAGCTGACATGTTTTCATTATCATTCAATTCTGAATATTTTATACATACTATTTCGATTTTTCTGATTAGCAAATTATTTAGAAACTTTTTGGTATCCAAACACATAAACTAAAAACTTTTAAAGGCATGTCTTTTCATTATTGATTCCTAATTATAGGAAATTTTGGTTTGAGAATGTAATCTGTATGACAGCAATTATTTTTAAAATTTTTTTAATATTTATTTTTAGTTGTAGTTGGGCAAACTGACACCTGTATTTCACTTATTTATTTTTATGTGGTGCTGAGGATTGAACCCAGGGTCTCACATGTGCCAGGCGAGTGCTCTAACGGTGAGCCACAACCCCAGCCCCAACAGCAATTTTTATAACAGTGAGATTTCCTCTGTGACTCCAAATTGGTTACACTTTTGTGAAAGTTCTATGTGTGCTTTTAAATATATTCGATATTATAACTGAGAAGTGTTCTCATTAGAATCAAACTTGCTAATTGTGTTTTGTTTATATCTTTCTTAACGTTTTTGCTTCATCAGTTTCTGAAAGACATAGTTTAAAATCTCCTACTATGATAAACTAACATTTAGAAGTATCAGTCTTAAACTATAGTACAGCAGTACCTGAGTTATGTGCCATTTAATTTATGTACATGATGGATAGCTTGTTAAGGGGTGTACCTGTAACTATTATAATTGATAGTAGCTGAAAGCAGGTAGGCCATAATTTCTATTTAGTGGATAGAATAGTAAAGGAACAAAGTCTGCAGCAACATTTTTTAAAAAAATGCCTGGAAAGTTTACATTTATGCCCAAAATAACACCTATATTCTATCTAGCATTTTCTATGTTAAATTCTTTGAGAAAAGAGAAAAAATCAGTTTTAACAAGATCCATATATTATTAAATAAAAATCCTGATTTAACCAATAACTAGAAAAATCTTATCATAAATGGAAAAGAATGTTCAACTAACCATTTGATGGCCCATTTCCGGGCTCTTGTTCTTTAGAGCTTGTGGGAGAAGAAAATGGACTCATTTGACAAGTTCCAGTTGTTGGAGAATAAGCTGTAATACTTCTCTTCTTTGTGATTTTTGAAGGATCAAATGACTGGAAATAAATAATTTTGGAACAGAAATAATTACATTTAGTTATAGTTCTTTTAAAAACTCAGCAAATCAAATCAATATTGGTTTCCTTCCTCTGTCTTTTCAGAATTCAAATATACTCAGTTACCATTTTCAAAATGAACGCTGTCCTTTCAAATTAGGTAGGTGTTTCAGGTTTCTATAATAATTAGGGCATCTAAATTTGATACTTAGAAAATTTTAATATTAAAGGGTTACTACTTTCTGAGATGATATTTTCTAACGTTTAGAAATGACCGACTCATATAACCACATTCTCACTTTTAATTTCACTTGAACCTGAAATATAATAATGGGCCAGGCCAAGAAAACTCTTGGAGATGCTTATTACTAGACCTACAAGGAAATCCTAGGAAAGATCAGTACAGTCCTACATCTTTACACAGTTCTCTGACACAGTGTCTTGCCTTAATGATAAAGAAGATAATGTCTAAATAACTGCATCCAACATTTTAAGACTTTTGAGAATTTGGCCTAAATTATAAAATTCGTCTCTGAAGCTTCCTCCTTTGTGTTCCCCTAGGAGTCTAAATCCAGGTAAAGTATTTTGATAACATTTTAATTTGTCTAATCCATCAGAATTTACTCCTAAAAATAGACATTTCTTCATCACTGTACCCTGGAGAACTTAAAAACGTATAAGGAATGAATGACTTAAAAGGAATTGTCCAGTCAACTTTGCCATACCACTCTACTTAAAATATACTCATTTGTTCATTGATTCCTCCATCCAATATTCACTAGTACCTTTGCTTTCAGTTTAAATAGGTTAAACACATTCAAGTCTCAGATCATTCTATGATCTCAGCTTTGAATGTTCTCTTTCTTATCTTCTCCAAGACCCAGTCTTTCTTTAAGTCTCTACTCACAATCCACTTTCTGCCGCAGTCTGGCTGGGCACGAATAAACGAGCCGCCACAAAGCCTTGTAGGTTCAAACAGCAACTACTTTATTTCAACTCTTACCGGCACTGCACCCACGCTTTTCCGCCAAAGCCACCCGGGTGTGCCTTCTCCCGGGACACACCACACACCAACCGGAAATCCCTCCTCCCTAAATCCCCCCTCTGGCACTTCCCCAACCAATGGGAACTCTCCGGGAATCCCCAGGAGAACTCCAAAGTAGCAGGCTGAGGCAGACAGCAGGGGTCTAATTTACAATTGAATTCACAGCTTAACATAACCATTATCATCTCAATGGCTTGCTGGGGTCACCTCTCAACCACTCCTTTCTGGCAAAAAAACGCCAAGCCTCATTCCAACTCCCCTATGGCTCTCAGCAACTTTCTCCAAACTCCATTATCATAGTACTAATTGCTCTCCTGAATGCCTCTAAAAACTTGCTTTCTATATTGCTAACTAATGAATATGAAGAAATATAACAACTGTTCTGGCCTCAATAAGTGTTTACCAAAGGCTAAATAGAGATAAGGTCTTAGTATGTATGCTTAGAGAAACTCCAAGTGGAAATCCAAGTGGGCTGTAGCATTCTGTTACAGAAAGCTTCTTTTGAGGGGGAAGGCTGAGGCTTAGATAAGTAAATATAAAAGACAGGAAACATCTGAAATCAGAGGTGAAACAGCATAGGATGAAACTGGGGGATAAAGAAAAGGTTTGAAGGCTCAGAGGATGGCAACATTGTAGAACTAAACTTTAGTAGCTGACTTAAAACAGATATGTAATTCTTTATGGCCAAATAACCTCTATTTTTAGGACTCATGGCAAAAATGGTGGCTGTGTCACCTTTTCCATTAATCTTCATATTTAGTTTCAGAATCTACAGTATCAAAAAATTTTATAGTTGAAATTTTAAATGATAAATATTTCTGTGTTTTGGGGAATAAAAAAGCATTTCTTTCTTTAGTTTACATATCCACAATAGGCACAAATGTAACCAATATCCTTCTTAAAATATCAAACTATAATATGAAGTTATAATTCTAAGGCAATCTTTTTCATGGGGTGAAAGGTTTTAAGTCTCTTTATCAGGTGGTTACCTCTCCATCTTGAGTTTTCACCTGTTTATATGTATTCAGTCATAAACTATGACATTTATCCAACCCGTACTTTATTTTTCCAAGAATTTATTGCTCAGAACAATTTCACTGTGTATGTACAAGAAATGAAAGTCACTCCTCTAATATACATTTATATCCATCTGTTTTCCTATTTTCACCATAAAATTATTTTATTCAATTGCCAAATGTCTAAACATTACAACTGTAGATAATACATTTCTTCTTGAAAATGGTTTTCTAGCTTTCAGAAAATAACTGCATGTACACATGTAAGTATCTGCATCACTTTAGAAATAGTGAGTCTTCACTTTTTTCTATATTCCATGTTGGTTTTATTTTTTGGTCATTTGCGTTGGTTAAAAGGAACATGTCTGTCTACGATTATGATACATAGAGGAAAAATTGAAAAATCTATCTTCCCCTACTCTCCTACTAAATATTCTTCAGCAAATGATATATTTTATGTTTGGTCCCTACTGGTATACACAAAGCCATAACAAAATTTTTTTTCCCTCAAGGTTTTACCAAAATCTTCTAACTTTATATCTCTGAAGATGTTTAAAAGTGATCCTAGAGTTCATCTAAGAATTTCATTTTGCCATCCTCCAAACTTCAAAGGACTTGGCTTACTTCTTAGTCTCCCATGACAGGGAGAATTAAGAAGCCCAGGGTTGAGGAAGACTGAGCTGCTAACTGAGAAACCAGCAGTCTTTCCACTAAGCAAGGATGAGTGCTACCAGACCCTTTGGAAAAACAGAAAGAAATGGAGAGAGGACCAGTTTTCCCCTAAAAAAGGGAAACCAATTCAAGATGTAAACAAAATTCAAGGAGACAGATGTCACAACCAATTCTATAATAATTTACAACTGCTTCTAATATTTACTGACTCAGTGTTTTTAAAGTGAGGCAAATACATACATAAACTACTAAAAAACAACAGTAACAAAATGCCATGTTCAAAGATTCAGCCTATAATCAGCCCAAATAGCCTGGTACATTTTATAAAGAGGTCAAATTTATACATTAGTAAAACTAAAATTTGGGCATTGATTTTCCTGCCTTAAAAAAAAAAATCAATGTTCTTTTTATAATTTCAAATATGACATTCTACTTCAATATCCTTTACGAATTGTAGCTTGCTTCATCACCTTGTTTAAAGCATATTCTACCAAAAAGGTGCCTGCATTTTATTGATTTTTTACCTATTATAAACAGTCTAGAAAGTACTAACTAAGGGTTCTTTCACAGATGAAAAATGGGATATAAATGATCTGCTATTATTATAAATTACCAGTCTATGGTGTCACTGAAATATTTAAAATACAAGTACTGTAGGTATATGGATAACCAGAAACAAAAGGGCAGCGAAAGGGAGATAATTCTCAAAAACCTTAAACTGAACTTCTATATGAATGCACCACAGTAAATCTCAACATTATGTATATGCACAAGACTGGGATCCTAATTAGAATAAGATATATTCCATGTTGGTATAAATATATCAAAATAGATTCTACTGTCACGTATAACTAAAAAGAACAAATAAAAATTTTAAAAAATAACCTTATACTGGCTAATTAGGTTACTGGGAATGTCCCAACTAAGATATAATTATTATGCACTAATACTACTAATTAAGTAATATTTATTAGGCACTTTCATATTCTGGGTCTTGGGTTCCTGGAAAAGTAATAGATATCAACTAACTAATCAGCTGCCAAATTAATGGTTCTATAAGACATTAGGGTTTTGTTGCTGTTTTTGTGATGGCTACAGAGAACAGAGGCATTTTGCACTTATCTCAGAGATTTTACTATGATAGCAAGTAAAAAACATGTTAAATCTGTGGTAATGGAAATGCTCTATTTCTTGATTCGGTATTTGATACACAAGTTTACACATTTGTAAAACTCACTGAATTATATACTATCTGTGAACTTAATGACATGTAAATTTCACCTTAGAATTTTCTCCTTTAACAGGAGAAAAAAGAGGAGGAAACAAAACTGTGGCTAAAAAGTTTATACACTGGATTTTCTATTTCTGCTCATTATTTTTCCATAATGTTAAGATATTAAGTATTAATTTTAATATTAAAGATATTATTATTGTACTCTGCACTTTATTCTCAAGCTTTCCCCACTCTGCCCAGTACTAGGGTTAGAACCCAGGGGTGCTTAACCGTTGAGCTACACCCCCTGCCCATTTTAAATTTTAAAAATTTTGAGTCAGGGTCTTGCTAAGTTGCCCAGGCTGGCCTTGAATTTGAGATCCTCCTGCCTCAGTCTCCTGAGTCGCTGGGATCATAGTCTTGTACCACTATGCTTGGCCTCAAGAAATTTATGAAAGTTTTTCACGGCTATTGCCGATTGTGTTTTTATACATTATTTTATTTTTCAGAATATGAAGTAAATTCTACCCAGATATTTTTTTTTGTTTACTGAAGTATGATTTATATACAATAAAATGTACAGATCTTCTTTAGCTTGATGAGTTCTGACAACTGTATACACTGATGCAACCACCACCTAAGATATATAACATTTTCATCATCGCAGAAGGGTTCCTTTGTATCCTCTTCCAAATCTCACTCATCAGCCTAGAGGTAATCACTTTTTAATTCCAATAACCACACATAGTTTTGCTTATTTTTGAACTTCATATAAATGAAGTATATATCTTCTGTGTTTGGCTTCTATTGCTTAACATGTTTTTGAGGTCATCTATTTTGTTGTACACGTTGGTAATGTGCTCTTTTTATTGTTAAGCAACATTCTTATTTTTTAAATATATTAGATTTGCTTTTCCATTTTCTTGTTTATGAATATATTCAGTTTGGAACTATTACAAATTAAGTTACTAAGAGCATTTTTGTACACATCTTTTGGTGATTTTATTTCTTTGATAGTAAGGAGTGAAATTTTGAGTTTATATTATGGTTTGGGTCTAATTTCACATATATAAAAAGAGTTAAAAAAACAGTTCAAAATGTTTGTTTCATTTAAAACCCCCATCAATATATGAGCGTTTCAATTGTGCTACATTCTCACCAGCCTTTAGTGGTTTTTGTTTCCTTTACCTATGCTACTGTGTTAACTAAAAAAGATTTTAAAAAAATTGTTTTAATACAGTTCATTAGCTAATCTAATCTATGGGAATAGTAATATCACTTTGTAACTTTAATTCATTTTTACTTTATTATTTGTATTATTATTATTATTATTATTATTTGGTACTAAGGATTGAACCCAGGTGTGCTTACCCACTTAGCCACGTCCCCAACCCTTTTTGTTTTTCATTTTGAGACAGGATCTCAACTAAGTTGCTCAGGGTCTGGCTAAGTTGCTGAGGTTGGCTTTGAATTTGTGATCCTCCTGCCTCAGCTGCCTAAGTCACTGGGATTATAGTTATGTGCCTTCATGCCTGGCTTTAATTCATATTTTTGATGATTAATGTCACTGAACATTTTTTGCACTTTTATTTATTCATTTTAATTGATATATTCTGAACACAAGTCTTTTGCAATATATATACACATACACATACATAACAGATATTTTCTTCTCCATCCATGGCTCATCATTTTCTTAGTGTTGTCTTTTGGTTAGCAGAAAGTTCTAATTTTGATGAAGTCTATTTTATCAACTTTTATAGTTAGAATTTTGGGGGTCTTAAGAAATTTTTGCCTACTCTAAGGTCACCAATATAGTTTCTTATGTTTTCTTCCAGAAGCTTTATGCTTTTGTCTTTATATCTATAATTGTTTTTGGGTGAATTTTTGTTTATGAAGTGAGACATTAAGTATAAATGAATTTTGTATAAAATAAGAATTTTTTTGTATATGAATTGAGGTTAATTTTTTCCATATAGATACCACTTATTAAAGACAGTCTTTTCACCCCCCCAGTGAATTGACCCAATATTTAAAAATGTTTAATAAATTTAGACAACTGTTAAAAATAATATAAACCAAAACAGTACTAGAAATAAGAATTTCTAAAATGAAAAATGACTCATGAAGTACTTAAACATTTATACTAAAGGGAAAACAGCTGTGGTATATGGAAAGAATACTAGATATGAAGTCTTGGGCTCGTTTAATGGTCTTGCTGCCTACTAGGTATACTATCGTGGACATGACACTCATCTGAACTTTAATTTCCCCACTTAATGAATATATTCCCTCACTTAACTAGCAAAGAGTAGAAACAGTAGGATGGGACAGGGAGTGGGCAGCTGGCACAGTCAGGTGTCTTGGGCCAGGATCTCTAACATCACCCTCTTTGTCTTTTGGTGGGGAAAGAAATAAGGCATGGGAATTTCAACCATGCTATTTCAAATATGAAAGAAGGTTTCTGTGGAAAATCTCTAAACCTGCATAATTTATGTGAGGCTCCACTCCCAAAACCTTTGGCTTTATAAAGTGTCTTGAGTAGGGAAGTGTTTTCTTTTTAAAGAAGGCATTAATATTGTTTTCTATGCCAGAATGAAAAAAACAAGCATGACACCAAACTAATGGCTCTAATTTTCAAGTCGCTACATTCTGTGGGAGGGGATCTCTCAGGTAGATTAGAGAGGGCTTTTCCATGTGTCTTCTTATAAACCATTCTTGGGATAGGGAGCTGGGAACTGACCCAAGCAATGGGTGTGATGACAGGCAAAAAGGGATAGACCTGCAGCTTCTAAGTTCACTCCAATTCCATTCCAGGCTGCTATGACTCTTTTTGCTCCTTTGAATAATTTTGTCTTGGTTCCGCTTTCTTCAGGCGGCCACATGTACTAGATGTATACAAATCATGCATCTTCGGCACTTTAATTTTTTTTCTTAATGTAAATATTTGTCTCATATTTTTGCCCATTGTAATCTAAGGTACTAATTTCTGTACTGTGTTCTCAGGTACAGGAGCAATCCCAGGGTAGCAGCTCCAAGTCTGCTTGAGCATTTAAGAGCATTTCAGATTTGAATTCTCAGATTAGTGATGTTCAACGTGAATTAACCTTGTAGAAATAAAAGCAGTTATGAAAAGATACTATGAATGATTCTATTAATAAAGAATCTAGATCAAATGGACAAATTCTCAGAAATACACAACATGCTCAGATTGAATCATTGAAGAACTAGAAAAATGTGAATAGGTCAATAGCAAGTGAAGAATCTGAGTTAACATTCAAAGTTAATTTTTTAAAAGTACAGAACTGGATCAAATATAACAATGTAATTTTTCTAATGTAGGACACTAGTTGTGGCACTGGTTACCTTGACACATTCTCATCTGAAGAAAAAATGGGTAGAAAGCCTGCCATGACAACAGTTGTGCTTCATGAAGAGAATGGATTCTGTAATGGTCATTCTTTTCTATTTAAATAATTGTTACCATCTCCCAAAGAATAGCTTTGGGGCAGGAAAGAAATGTATTTCATTTCAAGCTGGACTACTCATCTACCAAAATACCATTCTGACCAAAGAAACAGATGCAGAATTACAGTCACAGCTGCATTCTGCACAGAACAAGTTGGATAATGGTACTCTAAATTGCTAATTATACTGTTAATGATTTTTTTTAGTGTCATTGCAGTATTCTGCCACCTTTGTACAAAAATTTTAAAAAAGCATCTAGGAAGTTTTTAAAATGCTGAATTTTGTTTTGTTAAATACCAGTGAGTCTTTCAAAAGGAAATTCCACATAAAACCCATTTCTTGAAATGGCATTCTTGTATGAGATTTTGAACAGGTCCATTTATTGACTAGCTATTTGTCTTAATTTACTTTCTCACCAGTTTACTTGCATTGATGATTATTGAGGTCCTAAGTATTTCAGTATTAGTGTTTGTATCTAGATCCATAGTTGATATGAAAAGATAATAAACTAACATATGTCATAACATGCTGGCATTGGGAATGTGCTCTGAGTAGACTTACAAAAAGTAATAACAATAGTACAATTTTATTTTTATTGTGATAACTATGGTGAAATTTGTTACAATGTTAGTACTTTGTTGTTTAAGCCATATCATAATAGCTGAGGGAGATAATTACATTTGTGATGTGAAAATGCTGCTAATGTTTTGATTTCACTTTAGATTATAGTATATAGGTTAAAGTATTGTCATTATTCCATATTGTTTCTTATCAACTTAAGTGGCAGATTATTTTTTTCTAGAAACTAATTTCTAGTAATTTATTTTATTACGGTTTCTAAATAATTTACTTCTTAAGTAAATACCCCAAGCTTGCCAGAAACTTAGATTTATAAAAAAATCATAAAAATTTATAAAAACCATTTTATATGTAGAAAATGATATACCAATCACAACTGTGTCACATGGTTTCTTGATAATTTTTATATTTAGCAAGGTAAATAAGTGGATACAAATTAAAAACATAGTCTTAGGCAATCACAAATTCTTGATCAAATACTTACGTTTTCTTCTAGCTGATCATCCAATTTCAGTGATCTTTTAACACTGCAAAGGAAATATTTAAAGAAGTCTTAGATTTGACATACATAAAGAAGGCACATATTTAAAGGTAAGATATATAAGCAAAGATTATAGTTACTTTTACTAATTTTTATATTGCTTGTTAAAGCATAATATCATATAAAGACAGCAATTATTTATGAGTGGTTTGTTTTTAATAGCATATTTCAATATGGGATCATAATTAAATATTTAAATGAACCATGTTTTTATATACATAATTTGACATACCTGCACTAACAATTTAAAATCATAGTATTAAAAGTCTTAGAAAAATTAGTATATTTATCTGCTTTGAAAAACAAATTTGAAAGATAAATAATTTACATAAGAACAAAATAATTTACATACCATCAACAGAGATGTTCAAAGTATATGATTTGTACTATGAAACAGAAATAGCGCATCATGTGTTAAAGGTATGAGCAAGGTGAAAAAAGTTTTGCACATTATTCTAGCATTAAACATGATTCAGTGCAACCAGACTATGACTTAACTGAGGAACAGATGCTCTATGTCTTTATAAGTCCCCAATCCATAAGAAACTATTTTTTGTTTCCTTCACTAAACTGATTCAGGAACATGCCAGGCTCTCTGTGTGCAAAATCTGTTCTGTTAAACTGGAAGCCCAGCTGTTGGTGACAATGCTTAGAAAGGAAAGCCGAATATTTATAATACTTTATTTCGTACAGCTGTCTTCTAAAGAGCAATCATCAACATTTTATTGAATGCAGACTAAATGCTCAAAGGAGAAAAAGGTCAGTATAAATTAAACTAGCTTTCCCAGTGACAAATGCAGCATTAAAAGTACTTTCTTGATCCCTGAGAAACAGAAATTAAATTATTTGAACTATTAGAGGTTTGGGATATTATGCAAAAGATTGTGTTGAAGTACAGAACCCCCCAAATTTGTATAGATTCTAGAAGATGACTATTCAAAAATAACTGGTGACTCATAAACATCATATAGGAATAAGAAAAAAAATGAAAGAGATGGGTCAATCTATGAAAATTATTGAGCAGTAAATAATAAATACAAAAATAAATATCTAAAGGTTTACTTAATTTTGCTATTATATTTACATAATTCAATCACAACATTATTTCTTGAGACTAAATTATTTTAAATAATTGTATCTTTTAGAAGTCAATTTAAATTTGGTTTAGGGGCTGGGGATATAGCTCAGTGGTAAGAAACTTGTCTAGAATGTGTAAGATCCTGGGTTCAATTCCTAGCACTGAAAAAAACAAACAAAAACAATTTAACAAGTATTCTCAATGAAGTGAGAACACAAGTATTAGTAAATAAAAATGGCAAATCATTTAAAAAAGTATTTAGCTTTGGAATATATATAGACCTATTTAGTACATGAGGTGTTCTGTTTTTCATATTTCAAAAGTATAATCAAAAACTAAAATTATACAATGCAGAATTTTCTTATTATTTGTTTTTAAATGATGCTAAGATGCAGCATCTAAAAGATGTCCTTTTAGAAAAGAACACAAAGCCTACCCTGATACTGATTGTTCAAAATATTATCATTTTATAATCAGTGGTTGATTTTTAAAGAAAGCAACACAGTGCTTGAACTTAAAAAGATTTCCAGATTAGGTCTTAGTGGATTTAGAAAGCCCATGGAAAAATATATAAAAGTAATAAGAAAGTGAGCTGAGTTAAAATAGGCTGTCATCTCCCTCTTTATGTTTGGTGAGAAATCTAAAAACATGATTCATTCATTAAGGGTAATGTACAATTCAGATAACTGGGGCATTTAATAACCCAAAGTTGGTAATATTTATAAGTACCCTAAAAAGATTTAATAGGCAAAACTAGAATAAATTTAAGAAATTGCTTAGTTTGTCTACAGGGAAAAGAATTTGTGAAACCCATCTACTGTCACAATCTCAGTCCTGTGCATAGTAAATCTTTGTTGAATTTTGGGGAGGGAATTGAAAAACAGGTAAAGAAGGACAAATCTACCAGAGGAATTTATGACCTTATTCTTACCATTCTATTAGAAATGAACCCTACTGAGATAACAATCATTAAAATAAGCACCTATTATACACAGGCACTCCTCTACCCATGAACAATTATAATATAAGGATGAGATGATGCTACATGAATTAGGATGATGTTAATAAAAATATACGAGACAGAAAAAATATAAAGGAAGAATAAGCAAAAATTTGATTAAATATGAGAGAAATATTTTTCTAAAATATGTATTTCTTTCCTACCATTATTACTTAACAATTACAAGTGATATATTTCTGGTAGTCCTGTAAAGTTATATCTGGTTCCTGTGACTACTATCTTGGTTTAAAAAAATGGACACAAAAACATGGGGAAAGGACTTGAATTATACCTTTCTCCAAAGAAGATATACACACTACACACACACACACAAGTGGCCAAAAATCAACATGAAAAAATGCTCAACATCCTTAATCCTTAGGGAAATATAACCCATGTTCACAAGGAGATACCCCTTCATGTCCATTAGCATGGCTATTATAAAAAAGAAAATATCAAAAGCTGTAAGGATATGGAGAAATCAGAACCTTTGTACATTGCTGACTGGAATGTTAAATGGTGCAGCAGCTATAGAAAACAATTGGCAGTTCCTCAAATAATTAAAATTAGAATTACCATATGATCCAGTAATTCCATATTCCAAAAGAATTAAAAGCCAGAACTTGAGTAAATATTCATATAACAATATTCACAGAAGCATTATTGACAGTAGCCAAAAGGCAGAAGCAATCTAATGTCCTGTGACAGTTAAATGGATAAATAAAATGTATCATTCATACACACACACACACACACACACACACACACACACACACAATAGAATATATTATTAAGCCTTAAAAGTGAAAGGAAATTTGGCACATGCTACAACACAGATAAACTTTGAAGACACAACTCTAACTAAAATAAGCCAGTCATAAAAGAAAATATACTGCTTGACTTTACTCATATAAGAATAGTCAAATTCATAGATACAGAAAACAGAATGGTAGTTGCTAGGAGCCAGAGGAAGGGAGAAATAGGAAATTACTGTTAATGGGTGTAGTTTCAATTTTGTAAGATGAAACAAGTTTTGAAGATGGCTGGTGGTGATGACTGCACAAAAATATAAATATACCTCCCTTTTAGGGGTAATCGTACATCATCTGTAGGTAACTTCTCACTCCAAGCTACCCAAATTTCCCTGTGCCCATAATTTAAATATTATATTCCATCTTTAGGCACATTAGGTTTAGACTGACTAAACCTACCAGAATTATTGTTGTTGGAATTCTCAAAAGATAAAAAAAATTTTGCATGCAATTTTATATCAAGAGGAGAGACAGTAACTCTCTTTGTAGAGTTACCATAAATTATTCACTAAGAAGATCCTCCCCTTTTTAATTTAGCTTACTACATGGTAGTACCCTGAGTAAGATTCTCTGATTGATCAGAATAAATTGAGTAGAAAAGCTTTATGTTACTAACATCAATTTCAATATTAAAGAAATTATTCTAGGGGAAAAAAAGCTATCATTTGATTCCTAACCAAGAACCAGAAATGAACTCTTAGAAGCTCACAAAATTATATGATTTGAGGTTTTTTTTTTAAATAGGAGTTTTAAAACATTAGATTAAACATGATTTTTGAGTGACAGAGCTGAGAGTAGGAATAGGGGGTGAAGAATAAACTTAGCAAAGCAGATAAGACTCAGGGAGCTTTGATGCTATGCCAAATTCTTCTGTAAGGTTGGGCAAATCACATAATCTCACTAAGCTTCATAAAGTTGATAATAATACTGGCCTGTAAAGTAGTAAGAAATTTCTGAGTGGAAGATAAAAATATCGCTTAGTATTTCAGTGCTTCCATTTACTCCTCACTATAATGGACACAATAATGTTGCCAGCTACTAACTTCACAAGAGTATTTAGAGGATTATTGAGTATAATCATGAGATGCTTAGAAATCCTTTGATGAAAGGCAATGGCTAAATTCACATCCCATGTGACTTCTTAAGTATAAATTGAGATATATGAAATGATTTATTTTCCATTCCAAGTACGGGTAAAAAAGGGAGAAGAATCTTCTATAACCTTTCTGTTTCATTCAAGTTTATGCTCCTTTATGTTCAATATTTCTAATGATCACATAAAAAATCTCTACCATGGCATAGGTGAGGGCAACACCAACCTATTACATGCAAAAGTATGGGCACCATGTGAAGTATCTAAGTAAATGATTAATCCTGTTATTCTTCATGACAAAAGTTGTCCTGGGCAACATATGTTTATGATGTCAAAAGATTAATGAAAAAAAATGTTTACAGAAGTCAAATGAATACATTTAGGAATATTAACACCAGAGGATGAAAAATGAGATTTTTTTTTGGTTGAATAAAATGAGAAATACAGTTAAGACCATTTTACTCCTGAATGGATATTCCTTAATATGCAATAAAATATTCATTAACATTCCTTCTGCAAAAAGTTTACATATACTATAGATAATTTGTACATGTAGATTATATGTACCTACAAATGAAGAAAGGATATAAGTTTGCCCTTTAGAGGAGTTTCCATTGAAAGGGCTCAACTAGGTCTAACAGAATTAAAACATGACAGATGGGTGATATTTTATGTACTTTTCTGTATGAATTTTTATTCTACAACATAAAAATAATCATAAAAAACTACTGCTAATGTCTACCCTATTTCTGAGACTTCAACACAATCATCTTAAGAAGTTTTATCTGGTGCTGTCTAGTTTGCAGTCAATAGCAGCTGTTCATGACCCTTTTACTAAACTTATGTTAAAATAATCTATGTGTTTTTCCTAGCTAGACTAAATTATTTACATTATTAATACCTCGTCAGTTAAATGATGGGTTATGAGTTCTAAAAATGCTTATTGAACTATCTTTTCCATTAAAATTAATACTAGGTAGTACAGTATTTGTTCATGTTTGGAACCCCAAAGTGCAACGGAACAAAGGTATCATATAAATTAATCATTTAAATAATTGCTTTTATTTTTATCTAAAACTTAGTCTCAAAGAAACAAATATTTAGCTTTTGCAAATTTTTATGTGCTTAACATAAATAATTCTAATCCATAATTTCCTCAAATATTCCCTCTCCTCCATTATGCTTTTCTAAGTCTTAAATTACTAAAGAGAAAATTATTTTTAGCCTTTATGTTTGATATCTCTAGCCTCCTTTTTCATATTATTGTTCTTTATGCATTTTGGACAATTTCTTTAGATTTATCTTCCAGTTCTCTAATTCCTTCTTCAGTTGTGTCTAACCTACTATTTAATTCATCCATTAAATTTTTTGAAACTTCAATAAATTTGGGGTAAATTTTTACTTTTTATATAATCTTATACTTTCAAAAAGTTGCAATAAAAATTCTTCTTATCCTTTATACAGATTCACTATTGTTTACATTTTGTTCCATTTAACATTATTTCAACACACATACATATAAATGTTATATATGCAGACTTTTTTCTGAACCATTTAGAATAAGTTAGAGGCATAATCATTCCCATGTGTTTTTTTAAACATGAAAACATTCTTTTACATAAATACAAAATTAAAAAATGTATCATACCATTATTATCAAGTCTATATTCAAATTTTATTATTTGTACTAATAATATTCTGTATAATCAATTTCTCTCCATGTCTAAGATCCAATCCTGGATCACTCTTTATATTTAATTATCCCATATCTTTGGTTTCCATTAATCTAGGAGAATTCTTCAACCTTTCTTTGATTTCCTTGACCTTGACTTTTTTTTTTTCAAGAGTACAAGTCATTTTAATTGTAGTATAATATTCTCCATTTGGGTTTATGTGATATTTCCCCATGATCAGATTATGCATTTCTTGGACTAAATCCCCTATGGATTCCTTCTGAAAGTGTAATAACTTGAGGAGTTTATATTTATTAACTAACGTTCTACTCCAGGGAAGAGATCTCTCTTCTCCCTTTATTCACTTATATCACTATATAGTGTCATGCATTTTTTTTTGTTGTTGTTGCCAATGGATATTAAGCCATTCCTATCATTACTTATTTTTATGTTTAAGTGTCCCACATTTGCAAGAGAATCATCTATGCTTCATGGTAGCTCCTATTTACCTCATGTACTCATAACTCCTTGAGTACCTTCTTATTTTCTAGCATATATACAAAAAACTTTCTGACTTGGACTCAGCTTTTTCTCCAATGAAAGATGGTTCTATTTAATGAGCAAGTGGTAATTAGAAATCAAAATCTGGCATTAATTGATACTTATGCCACTGTTTTTGATGACAAGTTAGCTTTCAGTTGAATAGTTTCCCTTATATGTATGTACATGTAAAAAAATTAAGTGTATGCTTATATATATAGGTTTATGCACACTAACTTTAAACCTTAATTAGAAATTACTGAACTTGTTTGGATATGCACTTTTATGATTTTTAGCAAATTGAGAAATTAGGATATACAATTTTTAAAAATATATTTTCTGCTCCATTCCCATTCTTCTGATTCTGTGATTCTAATTACACATTAAACCACTTGATATTGCTACATAAATTGTAGAAAATCTGTGTTTCCCCTTTATTCCTTTAATTAGATTATTTCTTACTCTTCTACCTTCAAGTTCACTGACCTTTTCTTCTACCACAAAGTTCATAGAATGAATATTTTCATTACAGTTACATTATATTCTCAGACATAAAATTTCCATTTGCTTCTTCTTTTTTTAAAATTTGCTTCCATTTATCTTTGAGATTCCCCAGGTATGCTTTTATATGACCAGTTTTTTCTTTAAATCCTTGAACATATTTATCTAAGTCCTTTAAAGTCTCCCATATACTAACTGTAAAATCTGCATTATCTTAGGGTCAATTTTTAATTTTTTTTCCTCCCAGCAGCAGCTGTTGTTGTTTGCATGGCTGTTAGTATGTTAATGTATATGGTACACTGTAGATGCTATGATGCAGAAATCCTAAACTCTGTTATCTTACCCTGGAAAGTACTGAGTTTGGGCATTTAACTTGACTAAATTCAAACACTAAACTCTTGTTTTTTCCTGTAATGGGAAGCAGCTGAAATCTCTGCTCAATTCTTTCAGGATTCCAGCTGTTGCTTCCTCACAGGGTTCACGGAGTTTCCCTAATCCATGCATGGCCCAGAAATCCACCAAGGATTTAGGTAATTTACAACCACATTTGGAGCTACTCTCTTTACAGGATTTTCCTGCAAGTCTAGTAATCTCAAATTTATCCTATGACTCTTCAAACCAGCAAAAACAAGAGATTTCTGTTGAGTTCTACCTGTACTACACAACGTGGACTGACTTCTGTTGAGTTCTACCTGTACTACACAACGTGGACTGACTTTTGTCTAAACACTATCAACACAAGCCCAGTCCATTGTAGTTTCCTTCTTTCAAGGGTCAGTCCAATTTCTCCCAGGTGATGGTTGCTCCAGGTGTTTTTAATATTTTGTCCAGAGTTTAAAATTGTTATCTATGGAAAATTTAATTCAATACAAACTACTCTGACACATAACACATAACCCTATGCACTGAGTTTTCATTTCCACAACTGGATGTATACGTGTGTGTGTGTGTGTGTGTGTGTGTGTTTTAAACTATTTACTCATCCTAGTTTAAAAATCTGTGTTTTTTAAAAAAATATTTTGTTATTAACTGACAATTTTTGTGATTCCACTTTTGGTTTCCTTAAACATTATAATAATTATCTCATACTGTACCTGTAATAATTAATTTTGTAAAGTCCTTGGAATTTAAATCTGTTGGCTATTTTGTATTCTAACTTTCACCTTTGGTTGTAAGCTTCTATGTTTGATTATTTGTGATTCTGTGATTTTAACCTGTGAAAAATCTAGGAGCCTAAAATGAGGATGCTGTCCTCCACAGATGTATATTTTAACTTCATCACTAGCCAAAGGATCCATACCAACCAGGTATCATTTAGCTCCTGTTATAGCTTAATTGCTAAATCTCAAGTTTATATTCCTTACCTTGCCTCTAGCCCTAAGTCTATCAAATGCAACATGAAAAAAATACATATATACCTATATATGTATACACACATGTACATATACTTTCCATGCAGGATAATCCCATCTTTCATCTATACTTACTCCTTACAGTTTAGTTTCAGCTATTTTTAGTTTATCCCTTGGGATTTAATTCCCTACAAGTTCACCAACGCAATAAAAAATCTGATTTGTGCAGAATCTAGTTCTTTTGGAACAATAAGGACTTTAAAAAATTTTAGTCTATATATTAGAGAATCACACCATTATACTAATACCATTATACAAAGGTTGTGTTATTCTGTTCTCTATTATACTTTTACAAGCAGGGAAAAATTATTTCTAAATTTCATATTTTTCATATTGTAGCAATTTCTAACAATATTACCAACCTCCTTAAAACTATAGAAAACTTTTAAGTAAAAGAAACCGTATAACTCTGAATTTTGAAAATCAACCCACAAAATAAAAATAATTTCACTTGACATTAGACCAGTATGACTACAAACAAACCCATATAGGTGCAATTCAATAAAAGAGCTCAGCAGATCCAGAATGTGCCTGTATTCATTTTCTTTTATCTTGGAAAAATAGTATTTTAAACTTCTTTTGGAAAATTTTCAGACTTGTATAAATATATCAGCAGAATGGACTCCACTCTGAGAAACAGTTTTCTAAAAGTAATCTTATTTCATAGTTTGAAACAGAATAAAGTTAACTGATCAAATGTCCTTGGCTGAATTAGCATGATGATGTACACTAATTACAAAGACTTAGCAATGATATTAGGAAGCTTTAAAAAGGAAAAGATGAAGAAGAAAAAAAGCACTTGAATGGGACAGTTATAGCAAAAGCCATTATATTTGATTTCAATATTATGCAAATCTAAACATGGAATGTATTATGTTTATACAGGATAAAATCTTTTCAAAACAGCAATGTTATCATTCAATTAATACATATTTACTGAGCAACTATTTTACTGATGGCAACATTTAGTAACAATTTAAGGAACACAAGGCTAATTTACAGAACCAAGATTTCAATTTTGGCTTTTCTTACTTCAAAGTTCACGATTTTCTACTTCAACTCTTAAAAAAAAAAGTGAAGGTTTCATCTAGATAGAAAAATTATAATGCCTCTCATTTTACACAGAAAGAAAATTTTGAAGGAAAGAAAGAAACTAAAGAAACTAGGAGCAACAATTATTTAATTCATCTGTTTCCTCTGTTTTAAGGCAGTATTCAAAGGACCAAACAGAAGGTAGAGAAAACTATACTTATTGAAAACTTAGGTAATCTCTAAATCCTTTCAAAAGCATTTTTAGTAGTATGTGGTACATACTAAATAAATGTAAGATATGAAAATTATGAAACATAAGAAAATGAATACCCCAAAACTCACCACATAATTTATGAATTAGATCATTACTACCAATTTGTTTGGGTACACACACCTCTTCTCTATCTCATCTGCTTCCCACAAAATACAACCATTAAACTGAATTTTGTATTTGTCATTCCCTGATTTTCTCCAAAATTATCTTTTACCACAAACAAATATAACCCCAAAGTTTCTCCTTAAACTTTTCAAGATAATATGTAGTCTTTCAAAATTGGTTCTTTCACTTGTTATATTTTTAAGACTCATCCACCCATTCTACTGTCATTGGACATTTGCTCTTTCCTGTTTATTTTAGATTCATTTAGGCCATATATATTTTCACAAATACTCATCACTGTGTAGTTTTTCCCTGTCAAGTTTTAAAGAAATTAGAATATGGATCACTCTTTCCCATAAGTTATATTATACATTTAGCCTTGCAAGTGCATACCAAAAACTCATCATCTCAACACCATTTAAAAATGATTCCACCTTCATATGACATTTGACTATCTGAACCACTCCCATGTAAGACCTCAGAATTTACTGCATTTAAAAGTAAAAGTTTACTAACAATGATAGGGATCCTCAACTAAAATGCTATTATGCTTCATGCATTATTAAACTGTGAATTTGACTTAACTTTCTCTGTTAAAACATATTAACTCAGCAAACTTGCTATATATGTGAGATGTCAACCTTAAGATTGTATATTCAGTCACAAATAGTCACAATTGTGTATTTGTAGCTTGATATATATATGAACAGTGATCTTTCTAATGCTACAACATTTTGGGGAATGAAAAACTTACTCCATACACAATCTTGAAGTTGATTTCTCACATATATAGCAAACACTCAAACTCTCCTAAAATAACATGTACCATGTAAAGAAGACACTAAGAAAGTTCCACTTTTAATAGTTTTTTTTTTTTTTTTTTTTTTTTTGGTTCTCCATTTCTACAACAGAACAGGAACAAAGTTCAGGAAATATCACCAGTTTGTTTTCAATTCCTACTCAGGGATTTTCTGTTACATTACCTTTGTAGCTTTGTATATATGACAACTGAATGATCTATCTAATGCTACAACAGGGAGAAAAGTTTTTGTAGTTAATTTTGGGGAATGAAAAACCTACTCCATGATCCATAACCTTTAAGGGCATAAGTAAAACACATTTATTGATACCTATGGGACAGCCTTTAGATGTTGAGTTTCCTTATTCATAAAGTAAGCATAATAGTTGCCTCTAATTGATAGGTTTTTTTTTTTTAATCTAATGAGAAACTGTAAATAAATTGCTAAATACAGTACCAAGATCATAATTAAAGATTCCATAAATACAGATTATTGTTATTTCTGCACATCTTTTCATTTTCCCATCAATTTCTATTTGATAGTAATATTTTCCCTGCTGTCTTACTTTGCATTTCATTCAACTCTGAAAATAATACAGGAATATGCTCCTCCAGGGGGGCAGTACCTAAGTCAGCCTGGGGGACAAGGAGCATCCAGAGGATGTACTGTTATATACTCCTCCCACTCCCCAATTTGATTCTTGTTTTTTTTTTTTTAAAGTTATTTAGTGATTAAAAAAAAAGTTTTGCAGGGCAGTCAACTGCGTTTTAATTCATCTCAATATAGGATGGATGTAGGATAGGAAGAACAAATGAGTATTATCTAGCAAAATACCTAAGGCCATTTAAAAAAAATCAGATTATGGGGTTGGATGAGAATTTGGAGATTACCCAATACAAATTTATTTTCATAAGTAAGAAAAGTGAGTCTATAATTGACTTCGGGGATAATGAGAGTCTTGAGTGGAAACCAGGTTCCAAGATCCAGTTCCTGAAAACTTTCGAGAGTTTGTATTAATTCACTGCCTTAATCTAGGCAGCACAAGGCTTAACGGTCGTGTCTTAATCTACACCGTCCCATCCTCGATCAGTTAACCTATTTAAATTTCAAATTAGGCATTATCTACACAGAGTCCACAACCTATACAATCTGTCAAAAGGCTTGGAGAAACAGAAGTAAACAAAGACTATCTGATGAGTACTGCTGGAGAAGAGGTAAGTTAAGGGTACTGTCAACACACACAAGTTTATAGTCTTAAAATAGTAAAATGGAAAAAAAAGGCTACCGGGCCGCTTAATATCTACTCATAAAACAAATCAGCAATATCTGGGCAGGAGATACCTACGGCATTTCGAGTCTCAGGGAGGCACCACCGCCGCTGGACAAAATGAACTAACCAGCTGCAGGAAACGCCGCAGCTGAAAAGCGCGGGCAAGCGGGCACTCCTGGTGTCACACCTAACGCGGTCCGCCGGAAACACCCTCCGCGCAATGAGGAATCCGAGTAGGTGCGAGGAAAGGGGTGCATAAGGTGTCTAGGCCCCAAACCCACATCCAGTCCCGCCGCGCGTAACACGGAACCCTCTTACTACTCGGGCCAGAGAAATACTCGAACAGAGGAGCAGCAAAACCATGCCTGTTCTTTCTGGAGCAATTCATCCTACATTTATAGCCGGACCGTTTAGGGAGGTGCTCCGCGTCTTATTTCCGGTGACAGAGAGGCGCAGTTGCCATGGTAATTAGAGAAAGGCGAGGTCGGTCGGACTGCTGCGAGAGGGTCTCGGAACGGTGGAGGAAACGGGCTGTGCTTCCTCGTTTGTGAGCTGGAGTTAGGTAGCAAACAGCTCGCTGTCTCTGTCTCTTCCCTCCCTCTGTCCCTCTCCCTGCGGCTTTCTCTTCTTCCGCGTCTTGTGCGTCTCTGTCCTCCTAGCAGTTGGTCTACGCATGTCCCTAAAATGTACTTACACATGCAGTTTTATGCTCGGAGAAATCTGAAAACAGAGATTACTCGAGATTAGCCTAGACCGTGCTTCACTGCGGAGGGACGGTGGCTGCCTGGCTCTGTTTCCACTTGGCCCTTGAGAAGCCCGAGGCGCTTGTTAACAGTTTATTTTTCCTGCTGTTGTGTGCCTGGTTATTTATGGAGCCGTTTGCTGCAGTGTACTCTTTAGGCCCCTGCCTCGGTCTCGGGCTGGAGTTTTAAATAAAGGAGGTTTCCAAGCCTGAGGGGTGCAATTATATATTTATTTAAGCTTCAGTTTAGTCTCTCTTCACAGAAAAGGGGAGAATAGAATTCTGGAACATTTCCGCCGTGGGATTTCCAAGTGAGAGACTCATCATATTTGGAAAGAGTATTTTGAAGAAGATCCTAAATTTTATTTTATTTTTTTCATTTAAAAATTGCTTGCTGCAAAGAGGACGTTCATTCTTCCTTGTTGGAACAGTTTTCTTTTACATTTGTGAGAAGGTGCGTGCTCGCATATGTGTTTAAAACTCTGATGCTTAATTATAGTGATACCAATTTGCAGTAACCAGACTGTGACGCCACATCCCTATGGGGTCCTTCTAAATCTGGTGTAATATGAAAGTGTCAGGCAGGCGGTCTGTGTATTATAAATAGGGTACTTCATCCATGATAAGCGATTATTATCTTTCTTTCCCAAGTGTAAAAGACCTATATAATTCAAGAAGGTGCCAGTGATTTAGGCCCCCTGAGTAAGAATCCAATGAGTCCTGAAGGGGACCCTACCTGTGTCATTTTATTGTTGAACTTGAAATTTCAATTTATTACGTTGAAATGTATTTTTAGAAGTCAAAGCTGGATAAAGTAATGTTGGAAGCTGTTAGACCACCAGTACAATTTAGTACCTCATAGTAGCGATTCTTAATAAGCCTTCATTCACATTAACAAAGAGTAAATTGTTTCTGAAATTTACTGCCTTTCACTACTTACTGGCGAAGTGACATCTCTGTCCCTCCATTTCTTCACCTGTAAAATGGACAAAAGTAGGGGTAAAGTAAGATGTGTGACAGTTCATTAAGCTCTTATGAGCAGAGGTGCTGTATAAACCCAAAATATTATTAGTAGTAAAGGAACACAGTAAAGCTCTGTGGTAATGCTATAAATGGGACTGTAAAAATTCAGTTATTTTTTTGAAATTCAGTTCTTTGAAATAAGAAGCTGCATTATTGAGATGTTAATGAAATGATTTGGTTGATCCTGCCATGGAGGATGGGTGCCAAGTGCTTTCTGTAAAAAAATCTCATTATTATGGAGTTTCACATTTTTGTTATGGTTGTTTACATATTAGGGATTGAATTCAGAGGCACTTGACCACTGATCTACATTCCTAGCCCTTTTTAATTTTTTATTTTGAAACAGGTTCTCACCAAGTTATTTAGGGCCCAACTAAGTTGCTAAGGCCCGCCTGGAACTTGTGCTCCTCCTGCCTTAGCCTCCCCACCTGCTTGGATTACAGTTGTGTACCACCATGCCTGGCTGTAGTTTCATGTTATCTACAGTTTATTTAGCATTTACTAAGTGTCAGACAATGTTCTACATGCTTTATGTATGTTAACTAATATAATTTTCTCAGTGAACCTATTAAGAGTCTCATCTGATGGATTGAGAAAATAGATGTATGGTTTTACTTTGTCCTGATTCATCTTTTGTTGTTATTTTATGCCTTTGTTCTTTGGGCTGTTATTACATATTGGAGGGACAATTTGTGTGGGTGGGTGTTTATATGTGTGTTTAATTAGAAATCAACTGCCAAGGGTTTATTTTAAATTAACATTATAATTAGTCTACATACATATTATAACATCTTTTTCTTCTACATATAAAAACTTTTAATATTGTGATCCTCCCACACACTAGAAAGGTGTAATGACATTTGCATTTTAGGTGATTAATATTGACTAAAACAATTTTGAAATTCTTTTCTAGTAGAATGGCCGTCAGTCCAGGAAGTGATGCGGCTTTTACTAGTCAGAAATCCACTCTTTCAGAGAATCCTCGAACAAAGAAATTTCCACTAACTGAAGAAGAGATATTTTATATGAATTGTAGAGCTGCCTACTTAACTATCTTCAAAAGCAGCTTAGAAAACATTATTTCTAAAGATCAACTTTGCCTAGGTAAAATTTTTTAACTTAAAAATGTTTTGCCTTATTTGTTGAATGTTGCTAGGTCAGAAAGACTGGAATTAGATTTACATTGTTAAACCATCTCAATTTCATAATGAAGCTTGAGCAATAGAACTACAGTAAGGTATTATGGCATTTTGTTTAAGTTACATATACTAAGAACTTTAAAATAAAATTATGCAACCTAGATTGGTATCTTGAAAGATTCCACCAACTACTACTTGCTTTAAAATGTTTTTTATTCTCATTTTGCTGCTTTGGAATTTATCATAGTAGAATTAAAACACTTTTGGCTTCTAAATCATTAGTGTAAATTTTGACCTATCCTGAGAAAAATATAAAAGGTATATAAAAGTGGGGCCAAATGACTTTAAAAGAGAACTATTTGGAGATAATTGGAATTTGAAAAGAGAATAATAATTTAGTGTTTATTTTTTTGTTTGTTTTTGTCTCTTAGTGCTTCTCTTCATTGTTATATTTTAAAATTCCTTTGGTTACTAATGTCCCCCAAATTGATGAATTTGATCCTGTTCAGGGTATCAAATGACATAAAGGTCCCTGGTCTCAACAGAACAGTAAACAATACTAGATACCCTGACTACTCATGTCTGTTTCTTCAGTACTGATAACTTTATGAGTAGAGAAATTGAGTTATTTTTTTCCATCTTTAGAAGTATTTACCTTAAACCAAAACTCTAACATATTTCTTGAATTTTATATACTAAGATCTCTATTTAAGGAAATCCATTTTGGGGACAATGAGAATTGAAGAGATTAAAATTTGTTTGATGTTTAAATAAAAGACATTATTTGTAAAATAGTTTAAATGAAAATACCCAGGATTAACATGAATTTTAAAGTTATGAATTAATTTTACTTTGATTTACATAATTTTTAAATTGGCAAAATGTCCCATTTTGAATTTTATATTTAATTTTCATTTTGAATTTTAAATATTAGTGTTTAATTAATATGTGTTAATGCCATAAGAAGAGATCCAATTAATTTAAGTCCAATATGCCACTATTTCTTAAATAATTGAGGTTTTTTTCCTTCTTTCAAAAAGAGATTGAGATAATAAATCTGCTAAGTTTACAAGTTTAAATGATTTCCACAGCTATGGCATTTTGTTTGTGAATTAATGACTATGTATTAAGGTACTGTCAGTCTTATGAAATTATCTGGGAAGATAATGCAGTTTTTGTCTCCTCAGTGGAATTGTCTTTTGGGTTTATGGTGGAATATTCTTTGTAACATTGTAATAATTGATTTCATATAACCTAGTTATTAAAAAGGAGTAATGTGAACCAATGATGTCTCTTTCTTACTACTTTTAGTAATATCCTTCTGCCACCTAGCACATAATATGTGCTGATATTTCCATTTCAAAGTAAGATAGAGCAGTACCACTACCAGAGCTTTAGAAACTTTTTTGCCAGTTTATAAATAATACAGGTATTATAGACTCATGTCAAAGCTTATTAAGCCCTAGCAAAAGATCAGTATCTTGTCAACCTTTAAATAGCTACAATTACATAATATTTTCACTGTCATCAAAGTTAACAGTTAATTCCAACTAATTCTAAACTTCAAGATTAAAATTAGTAACAACTAGAATGTATCAGTTTCTTAGATGTGGGGATGTCTACTTAGTACATATTTTGGCATAATTAATATCATTTTGAGAAAATTGTTCTTTTGTAATTAACAGCATATTTTAAAAAACAATATATGTGTGTATATATGTATATATATATATATAACATATATGTATATTATATTGTTGTTACTGAAGATAGCAACAGGTGTACTAAGCTGCCCCTTGTGGGAAAGAGTTACACATTAATTTTCCCAAAGCTGTACAGAAAATATTTTCTATCATGTTGATTTTTGACCTGAAAATCACAACTTCATTTAGATCCTACTTGTATTTCCAATTTTTAAAGGGCAGGAGTTGGCTGGGGATGGAATCCTAAAACATAAATGTCCTTTTGCTGATTCTGTTAATAGATGAATTATGGAATTGTCTGTTCATACAGTGGGGAAAATATTTATCTTTTGGTTCTAGCACAACATGGTAATCAGGGATCCAAAATAAACCTGTGGAAATAAAAAATATACATAGATTTCAATGCTACAAATTATACGAAGGCATTATAGGTGAATGAAAAATGGCAGTTATTACCATTATAACTTCTGTTAGCTTTGAAGGTCACCTTTAGATTATCTTCTTGTTTCTCCTTTTTTGCCAAAATTTAAATTATCTAGTTATAATGAACTGGGATAATCTAGAGAATAGGAAGATTTCTCCTTGTCTTCTAAAATATTATTGACCATAAGTTATGACTACAAATAAGATTTTTTTACTTTAGATGTAGACTTCCTATTTACATTATAAAACTTCTTTGGAACTAAACAGTTTGTATCTGAAAAAATTTCACTCTATGTATGCTTGTCTACAATAAATATTCACTTTAACTGACTCAACAAATGTCTGGTTTTATTAACCTGATTTAATTTCTATTTCCTTAGGGTATTTCTTTAAATTGTTTAATATTTACTAGTCCATATTACATTAAATTACAAAACGTTCAGATTATCATTTTTTAATATTTATTTTTTAGTTGTAGTTGGACACAATACCTTTTATTTATTTATTTTTATGTGGAGCTGAGGATTTAACCCAGGGTCTTGCATGTGCAAGGCAAGCGCTGTACCGCTGAGCCACAACCCCAGCCCCAGATTAACCTTTT